TGGGTGATAAAGAAAAATTAACGGTGATTTGCAATATAGATTTAGATTACAACAAATTACCTGTCAATTATTATTTCAACTCAACAGCTTGTATGACATCAGATATATTCAGTGATCTAATCATGAAATGGGATCAAAGGTTAAAACATGAAAATCGCAGAATATTATTATTATTAGCTAGCTTTCATGGACAATATATTGATTATCAACCAAAAAATATCAAATTTCTTTTTCTCGAACCAAATTCAGCATTAAAAACTCAACTTTTAGATGCATGTATTATTACGCCAATCACAGATAGTTACCTATCTCTTTATTCACAGATTTTATGTGAATCACATCAACTGAAACATGTCAATATTATTGAATTTGTAAAACAGTTTGATATTTTAAAAGTTATTAGAATTGCTAATCTTGCTTAATCTCAATCACCTGAGAAAATCGGTCATTTGCCCAGCACCGGAGCTTTGTGTGATGTTTGAATTATTCGAGAAGTGATAGTAGGCCGAAGTGAGCAAATTTAAATTATTTTCGTTTTCTCTACGAAAGGTTACCCACTGATTTGATTTTTGAAATCGTTTGTTCACTTAGACAATATATAATTGCTAAATCTTCTTGACTTCATTCACTTTTATCTAAATTTTAATAGAAGTTCAATCGCCTCTCAAAATACCGTTTATCAGATCTTTAATTGTCTTTGAAACATTGAATTGATTAAATTAGACAAACCATGAAGGCATTTTCAATAATTAAGTTTGCTTTTTTCAGTGATTCTGTCAATTCAGCAGATTTTATCTGCTTATTAATATATAAAAGCTGGGAAACTTTATTACTCTCTAATAAGAATGAATAAATATATTATATCTGATGGAAATGAATAAAAATGCTTACGAAAAGCAAACATAATAGCTTTTAATGAGATGTGAGTTTTCAAATAACAAAAATAAAATGGTTTGTTCAGACGCTATTCACAATATAACTAATTATTTAATTATAGCTTGGCACCTTTTACTTTTCCAAGTCAAATATTAGGTTCTGATCAATTAGATCAATTGTTTTGAATATAAATAGAAATGATCTTGTCAATTTGGTTTAGTTCATAAAAAATTTTCTTCTGTGAGTTATAACGCCATGGCGTCAATACCTTACAGCTTATTAGTTATTTCTGGTATATCTGGACGTTATCCTGAGGCTCAATCTTTGGAACAATTTTGGTTCAACCTGTTGAACAGTGTTGATTGTGGTACTATCGATAATAGAAGATGGCCAACGTGTGAGTATATGATTTTGGTCTATGAAACAGTTGATTCTATAAAGAAACTTATATTTGTGTCGCTCTTTTTACCAGCACTTCTAAATATACCTAAAAGGTTAGCCAAAGTTCCTAATATTGGCCTTTTTGATGCAGAATTTTTCAAAATAAGTACAGAATCTGTATCAACCATTATTCCATCAATTCGGATTATGCATGAGGTTATTTACGAAATGTTTATTGATGCTGGTAAGTTTACAATCGTAAAATATCTCGAGAAACGTTATTAATTCGTTTTTGATTCAAATGGAAGGTTTCACCTCCGAAGGTTGGCGTGGTACGAACACAGGCCTTTTTTCTGGTATTAGTGAGAGTCACAGGCCACAATTCGAAGGAGTTTCTCTTGGTCTGAATCATCCTGAAAGCATAAATTGGTTACATTATGTGTTTGATCTGAAAGGTCCAGTCATCAGCGTGGATACTGCATGTGCTGCCGCTGCTTCAGCTTTCGATGTTGCAACGAGAAGCATATTGAATGGTAATTGCGATCAAGCGATTGTTCTTGCTCATAATCATTGTGTTAGTCCATACATTTCTCTTTGTTTCAGATCATTTGGAATGACAAGTATTGATGGTAAGTCCAAATGTTTAGATGCTGATGCTAATGGTTATCTCCGATCTGAAAGTATTGTTGCGATCTTAATTCAACGTAAATCTGATGCCAAGAGAGTTTACGGCTCTTTAATAAATATCGTTGTGAATAATGATGGATTCACCAAAGAAGGAATTACTTTTCCACGACTCGAAGGTCAGATAGATGTTCTTAGACGATTATTTAAAGATGTGCATTTAGATCCAGTGGATATCGACTATGTTGAAGCTCATTTAACGGGAACTGCGGCTGGAGATCCAGTTGAATGTAAGGCATTGATGGAAACAATGAGACCCAATTCATCAAAACCTTTACTTGTTGGCTGCCTCAAATCAAATATTGGTCATTCTGAAGGTTCTTCCGTCTTAAATGCGATCTCAAAAGTCGTCAAGATTTTCCAAACTGGTGTAATTCCTGTTAATTTACATTTCAACGAACCAAATCCAAACATCGATGGACTGATTAAAGGTGTTATTAGACCAATTCTTGAAAATAAAAGATTCGATGGAGATCATATTATGGTAAATGCATTTGGGTTTGGTGGTGTTAATACTACATTCATTTTGCAAGCCAATTCTAAAAGAATCGAGAAGACTGATCTTATTTTAAGTTCCAATAAAATTCCACGTTTAGTCAATTTTTGCAATCGAACTTACGAAGGCTTGGATACTATCGTTAATTTTATTGAGGAGCAAAAAGGATCATTAACAAAATACACGTTGGCACTTTTGGATAACATGAGTAAGATCAAACCATCAACAGGGTTTGATCATCGTGGATATTTATTGTTGGATGATGAACAAACAATCATTCATCAAACATTAAAACAAAATGTATCAACTGATGAAGTGTTTGCTTGGTTGATATTCACTCCAATGTTTAATGTCTCATCACAATCATTTGTTCAACTGTTGGAAGTTCCTCTAATTTATTCAAGAATAAGATCAATGCAAACTGATCGCTTGAGCTCATTTGGAATTGATGTTATCAAGATTATCGAATCGAATCAACAGGAGTTGGTTTCCTTCTCAATTTCATCAATTGCGATACAAATTGCTCTTTGTGACCTATTAACTAAACATTTGGAAATTAAACCCAAAGGTATAATTGGTCATTCGATTGGTTCAATTGCTGCTTCTTATGCCGTTGGATGTATAACTGCTGAAGATGCTTTGTTAATCGGTTATCATATTGGTGTCGCTTGTGAACAATTGAAAGGAAAAGGAGCAATGGCTTATGTTAATTTACCATGGAAACAAATTGAAGAGATGAATTTTGGTTGTATCGAATTAGCTTCACACGAGTCGGAAGATTGGACGTTGATCACTGGTACTGAAGATGCAATTAAAATGTTCATCTCAAGAATGGGACCTAATATCAAGACAAATATTATTGATGCTAAAGGGATTCCTTTCAACTCATCTCTGCTTAGTGAAGTATCAAAACCACTTGAACTTGAGATCAACAAATTTCTCAGACCATTGAAAACAAATTCAGGGTTAAAGACTAGTTTTTGTAAAAACTTTATCAATTCTGACCAAGAGCATATCATTGATGGACATTTTTTCGTTGCCTGTATCACAGAATCATGCAATTTTAATGAAATAATAGAAGAGATTGATTCGAACTCTGTGTTACTAGAGATTGGTTTAAATATTGAGACAAGACGATCATCAATCTTCTTAATTAACAATCGAGAAACGTTGACAAACATTAGCAGCTATAATCAATCGACTTTTCATCTCTATAAAATGATTGGTCAAATTTATCTTCGTGGTCTTAATCCAGTGATTACGAATCTTTATGATCAAATTGAATATCCAGTCCCAAGAGAAACGCAATCTATTGGTCATCTGATTAAATGGAAGCATGAAAAGGAATGGTTTGATGTTAAATATGACAAGTATTCTAATCAACAAACTGTATTTTCCAGAATAATTGATCTTCACGACCCTTCCTGGTCATTTCTTACTGGTCATCAGATAGATGGAAGAATTTTGTTTCCAGCAACAGGTTATCTTTATAACGCTTGGCAAATGGTCTGTAGGATGCTTGAGCGCGAACATGAAGAAAATCCAATTGAGTTCTATCAAGTTCAGATTCTTCGAGCAACACAATTCACATCAAATGCAAGTCAAATGAAATTTGTTACGAAAATTAACGAAGATCTTGAAACTTTTCTCATCTACGTAAATGAGAGTAAAAATGTTTGTATTACTGGGAAATATCGACTTGTTGATAAACCAACAGTAAACTTGCTACCTGTTGATTTTAAGAATATCAAAGAAAACACAGAGATTATACTTCAAAAGAAGGATATTTACAAGGAACTTAGAATTCGTGGTTTCGATTATTCAGGATCATTCCAAGGTGTAGAAGAAGCTTCTTCTAATGGAAGTTGGGGTATGGTCAAAGACACTGGACATTGGATTAGCTTTTCTGATGCTTGTTTACAGGTTTCGTTATTGGCTTCGAAATCCCGTAAGCTGATTGTTCCTGTTTACATTGATTATGTTTACATGTTTCCACCAGAAACATTAAGTGCCTTTAGCGATGAAACTGTCAGATCAGATTCTGATTCAACTAAAAAGCTTAGTGTTTATTTCAATCAAGAAACGCGGATGGGAATCACAAACGGGTTCATTCTTAAAGGATTAGAAGGCGAAGAGATCAGAAGAAAGATCAACACAGTGAACCACCAAATACGAAACCATAATCTAATCCCATTTAATTCGTATCATAAGTTTAGCAATGAAAAAGCAATGAGACAACAAGAGTACAGTTTTCAATGCATGAGATTGATTGAAAACATAAAGAGATTGAGATCAAGAAAACTTGATCCAATAGATCATAATTATCTTAATCCAGAGATAAATGAAAGTGATGGTTCTGATAGATCTTTGAGACAAATTTTGAATCAGATTTTAGAATCAGAAATACAACAATCCAAAAGCCCAATCGATGGTGTAGATTTCAACTCGAACTTAGATAAGGTTCTCAACCAATATCATGATGCTCTGTGTCGAGATTTTTTCTTTTATGAGCTAGAAAACATTTTATACGAACAAATTCTGAGAATTGCAAGATACAATTTAATCAAGAAAAAAATCTCAATTGCATTTTGTAATTTCAGTCAAAAACTAATCTCAACCGAGATTGAAAATATTTTCAATGATTATGGATTCACTACGATGAATCATTTTATAAAGAGTGATTCGAACGTGGTTTATATTCGGAATCAAAACATTGAAAATGGTTCAGAATATGAAAAATGTTCAGAATCAAAACTATACGGTTTTATTTTTATTCGTGACAAGTCAACCCTTCTCATGTATAAAGATACCGAACCTGAAGTCGAATGCAATCAATACGATCCATTGTTGAAGAATCTATTTGATCCACTGAAAGAAGGTGGATTTTGTCAAATTATGACGAGAACTAAATTAAGACCAGTCGAACAAGAATGGCAACAATTGATTGGAAATAATCAACAGATCAACTTTGATTTATCAACACTTAAAAGTAACGCAACTGATGCTGGTTTCACTTGGATCTGTCACAAGGAGATGGTCGATGAAGGATATTTTTCAGTTCTGCTGAGACGTCCATTCGCTCCCAATCCAGTTCAACAGGTAACATTTATCAGAGTGAAACTTGATAGTAATTATGATTGGATTGATAAGATAAAAGAATTGTCGAAATACAAGAATCAGAAAATCTGGTTAACTGGAGGTGGTTATGATAACGGGATAGTTGGACTCGTCATGTGTCTTTCTAAAGATCCTCAATATAATATAAGATGTTATTATGATCCGAAAATAGGAGATGATGAAGAGATAATTGTCCCTGATGAAGTAATGGAAAGAGATTTGATAGTTAGCGAAGTTGATGATAACGGAGAAATTGGATTGTATAAAAGTGAACTTGCCAATCTTGATGATTTACAAATCGAAACAATGTCATGTTATGCTGATATTAAAACAAAAGGTGATCTTTCAAGTTTACGATGGTTTCAATCACATCATAGTAATTGGACTCATATTCCTAACGATAAGCTCATCGAAGATCAGGAAAAGGTAAAAATCTATTATGGGTCTTTGAATTTCAGAGATGTTCTAATTGTTACAGGAAGAATTACTTTACAATTTAATATGGGCAACGACGGGTTACAAGCTGGTCCACTAATTGGAACTGAGTTTTCTGGAATAGATTCATTAGGTAATCGAATCATGGGAATGTGTGCAGGTGGAGGAATCGGAACATCTCTTTGTGCTAAAACTTATTTAACGAAGATTCCAGTTCCAGAAAATTGGACATTAGCCGAAGCTGCAACAGTTCCTGTTGTCTATTTAACAGCTTATTATGGCTTAATTTCTCGAGGAAATTTACAATCTGGTGAAAGTGTTTTAATTCATGCAGGTTCAGGAGGAGTTGGTCAAGCAGCTATTTCGATCTGTTTATCAAGAGGTTGTCAAGTATTTACTACAGTTGGAACACAAGAGAAAAGGGATTTCATAAAGAAACGTTTCCCTTCAATCGATGAGGATCATATTGGTGATTCTCGATCAACATCATTTGAGGATATGATTATGAAGATGACTGATGGTCGAGGAGTTGATTTGGTTTTAAATTCACTTTCTGATGATAAACTAAAAGCTTCGATCAGATGCTTATCAGATTTCGGTCGCTTCATCGAGATCGGCAAATATGATATGATCCAAAACACGAAAATGGGTAAGTCTGGGCTAATATTTTGTTTTTCGTATTTGTGTATTAATAAATTTATCCAAATAGATTCACAATTCATAGATTTCAACAAAACTTTTCATGCTTGCTGCTTGATGTTTCTACAAAATGATGTATTTATCAAGATGATTCCTGGTCGGATAAAGGTTTGGAATGGTCTCATTGAGATGTTAAAAGAAGGAATCAAATCAGGTGAAGTTGTACCTCTACCGACAACGATATTCCAAATGAATCAGCTTGAAGAGTCGTTTAGGTTTATGGCAACAGGGAAACATATTGGTAAAGTTTTGATTCAAATGAGAGATGAAAATGAAGATCCGAATAAAACTAAACTTTATTGCTCAATTGGTCAAACATTTTTTGATCTTGAAAAAAGCTACATAATAACCGGTGGACTTGGAGGATTAGGACTCGAAGTTGCCTATTGGATGGTATCAAGAGGAGCAACTAATCTGATTCTTACTTCACGTTCTGGAATCAAGACAAAATACCAAGAGTATATTTTAGAAAGAATGAGAAACAATGGTTACTCTCGAGTGAATATTATCATCTCTAATGAAGATTGTTCCAATTTGGAATCAACTGAGAGATTAATTAATCAAGCACAAGAATTGGGCCAAATTGGTGGAGTATTTCATCTTTCTATGGTTCTAAAAGATGGACTTTTCGAGAATCAAACAGCTGAAACATTTGATGAAGCTGTCAAGCCAAAAGCGATCGCTTGTCGTTATTTGGACCAATTAACTCGATCTCTACCCTACAATATTGATTATTTCGTATGTTTTTCTTCAATTGTTATTGAAATTGGATATATTGCCCAGACCAATTATTGTTTCGGTAATACAGTGATGGAAAATATTTGCAGAAAAAGAAGATTAGATGGACTACATGGTTTGGCTATTCGATGGGGAGTAATTGGTGATGTTGGGATATTTACAGAGATGCGTCTCGTTAGATGGCAAATTCATCTCAACGCGTTGAGATCCTATGAACCAATTCGTTTAAATTTAGTACGCGATTCACTTGACAAAACTTTAATGTCACCCGATGACAGTTCACTTTTCACCATAGTTTCATTTTCTGATAAAAAAAGCGCATCATCATTAGGAAATGGTAACTCATTGAAACTGAAAATCTTTCATATCCTTAGTGTTAAAGATGCAACTAAAATTGATCCACAATCAACTTTATCTGAACTTGGTCTTGATTCATTGATGGCAGTTGAAATTAAACAAGCTCTCGATACTGATTACGATTATTCAATGACAACCAATGAAATTCGAGAATTGAAAGTTGGTGAATTAGATGAACTTGAAAAGAAATTGAGAAAATCAGAGAAGAAAAAAACCAACTCTCCTCATTCAGCATTTGAATACAGAAATATTTTCCATATTCACACGCAATTATTTGTCCCATTGAATCAAAGTGAATTTGGATTACCATACTTTTACTTTCCTGGTCAATCAGGTCAATTTGCTGTCGTTATTCCAGTATTTGAATCATTCTCAAAACCAGTGATCGGCATCAGTTGGACCAAAGACTGTCAAAATCTCGAATCAATGGATGAAGTTATTAACTTTTATGTGGACTCACTTATAACTAAATATCCAAATGAGAAAACATTTAATCTCATTGGTTGCTGCTTTGGTGGAGTGGTAGCCTTCAAAGTGGCCATAAGCTTACAAAAGAAATTAGGTCAAGATTCTGTTAGAACTCTCATCTTTATTGATTCATCGCCCGAGATAGTAAACAACAAAACGAGAAACGTTTATGAAGAATATGCAGGGAAAGATGAAAGCACAATATTTACATGCTTTATATTTGATTATTTCTCACTGTATATGAAAAGTGATGAAAAGAACGAAGTGAGAACAAAACTGTTAGAGCTCGAAACGAAGCAAGAAAAATTAGAATATGCAACTTCAATTATTAACAGGATAGGGTCGGTCGATTATGATATTAACCAGATAAGTGATGCTATCGATATTTTTGTAGATAAGCTGAAAAAAGCTGCCGCTGTAAAAGTGGACGAAAATTTCAACGGTGAAATTGTTTTAATTCGAGGAACAGATTTGCATGAGTTTAATGCAGATTTCTATCATTTGGAAGATTATGGATTATCTCAAGTAAGTTTATTAATTCATTAAAAATGAATAATGTATAATCTATAATAATGAAATTCGATTCGAAAACTTTTCCAAACAGTATACAAATGGAGCTGTCACTGTTTTCAAATTGCCTGGACAACACGAAAACATGATTGTAGATAATTCAAAAGAAATTACTGAGATTCTTGAAGCGTTGGCAATGAAAGCATCTACTGGATAAATGAACTGGATAAAATAAAAACTATTATAACATGTCAATTGTCAAATTTCCCACCATGAAAAAAGTTTTGATCATCAATTGAGAGAATACAATTGTTGATTGAAAAAACCATTAAGAACAAGATAAGATATTACTTAGATACTTTTATGAGGAATAGTTTAATTTTCATTAAGCTCAATTCATGTAACTCTTCAAGATTAATTCAGTTTCATTTCTAGATTAAACTTTCCAACTGAATTAAGATTGAATAAGAATTAAAAATGAACACTAAATTGGTTTCAATGTAACTCTTTTCTATCTTGATAAATCTAACTAAGTATTTATAATATATTAATCTTATTTATGAATAAAATTAGTCATGACAATTATGCCTAATAATTTCACTATTCAATTTCAATCTGAAGTTGATCTATTTTGGGTCTGAAGGAAATATAATAAACTTTAAATTAAACTATCAATTCGGGCTATTGAGATATTCATTTTCAAACTTTTTCCTTCTAATTAGTGAACATCTCTTAATTGATAATATTTGAGTATCGATATTGGTAAAGCTCAAGATATGTCCGTAAGCTCACTATCTGCACTTACAGCTGACATTCGGCTAATAACTCGAAGCTTTTTAGAAAAATATTTTAGTTAATTGAACAATTAATTCAACAATCCAAGACTGTTTGACACCTTGTGAGTATAGCGGGTACATGTTAGTCCATATTAACAATGAAATAAAAGTTATTAGCGGAGGATGGGGCTGATTAGCTGTCGATAGCTAACATTACATTATTGGTGTAACAGTTTGATTGTCTCAGGACTTCCGAGCCTTTGTCCATAGTGACCCTTAATATTGAAAACTTAACCTATCCTAATTTAATCAAACACAATTAATTGAGCAATTAAGCTAAATTCCGTATGTAGCTGTAATCGTAAGCCGAAAAAAAGTCAACCGAAAGTAGAAAAGTTGAGCTTACGGACATATCTTGAGTCTTACCAAATTTTGGAAACTAATCATAATCTGATCAGAACTTAATTAATATCATTGAATAGATCAGTTAATCACCATTAATTTAAGCTTTTTTCGGAAGTCTCTGAGTCCAGAATTTTTCACGCTACTATCGTTCAAACTTTTCCTTCTAATTAGTGAACACTTCTTATTAGCAACAAAACAATTGAAACAATTTACTTTTTGTATCATTTTAATTTGATTTACATGAAATCATTTCAATTAGAAATTTTAAATTTTCCAAACTTAAATTCAGTGAATTAATTGATTTTGACGATTCATCCTCCTCGTTAATTGTTATATTGGTTATTTTTTCACTAAGCGATTCTAATTGCTCTTCAATGAATTTAACAACTTTCGATAGATTTGAATTGGAACAATTTAGCTGATTGTTTATTGGTATTAACTCCAAATCTTCAAGATAATTATCAATCAATGAAAGAGCTTGTGATTTAATCCATTCGGGTGATTTATGATTAATCTCTTCCAATAAACTATCGGCAGTCTCATAATCGTGTTGACCAAATCCAGTGAAAGTTAATTCGTGTCGAGTTATATTAATTATCTTCTCATATTGTTTGATTAAATTTCTCAGTTCGTGATTATCATTGGAATCACAATTAGTGAAAATTTTCGATAAATCATGAGTCGCATTATTAAGCATCTCCAGTGAATGAATTGTTAAATTGATGAACGAATCTTGTTCGCGATTCAAATTGTATTTAAATTCATGTCTAATTTTCTCAATTGATGCAGATCGTTGATTGATTTTCTCCTTTAAAATGTGTACAATTAATCGTGGTTCGGGTGTTGGTAATCTATTAATTAGATCAACTTCACGTAAAGATGAATCAATGGAAAAAATTAACACAGAGAGAAAGTAAATTAAACTAATACTGAGAAACATATTAATTGTTTGATAACAATTATCAAATCAAACCGAAGCAACACTGATTATGATTGTAACGTTAATCAAAATTTGGATATCTTGATCATCGATTGCTGTTTTAATCAACCAGAAATATCACTAATCGTTAATGATCAAACATTTAAATCGGTTAATCGTTAGTAAATGTCAACAATCAACAGTTGATTAAACAAATTGTCCTCAAGATTAAGGTTTTTGCTGTGTGTTTGATTTACTACTGAATCAATTGTTATTAATTGTACAGTTGCGCTTGGTTTTAATTACAAATTTCTTAAGTTTTTACATTTATCAACAATTCAATGCAGTTTATAAGGTTTGCCAACAATTAAGTTTAAAATCATATCAAATTGTTTGATTAATTGTTTCAATGAATAAACCGAAAGGTCAAAATTTGATTTACCTGATTCAACTCGTCTCATAGTATATCTTAACCAATCTAATTGGTCAATAGCAAAACTGACCATTGTCTTATTACCAGCAATCAATTGATCTTGTCCCATGAAGATTATGTCTGATTTATATGAATCAATTAAACTTAACCCTTGAGATTTAATTGTCTCAAAAGTAGTGATATTAATCAATGGATGAAGCCTGTGGATTAATGTCTTGGGCATTAACTGGTCAACATTTAGATCATCATTTAGGTAGTTGGTCAGTTCACTGTAAAAACGAGATACAATTGAATCATATTCAAGTGTCAAATATGTAAAAAGCTCATTGTCAATCGATGGTAAAATTTGATTGTTGGACTGATTAACCAGATCTTTAATCATTTCCAATGAGAAAACGGTAATAGATGCAAACATAGTTTGGTCAGTTGTCAGATTAGCTTGACCACCAAGTCTTACGATGTTTTTAATACGACGATCAATCTGATCAGCAAAGAGTCGGTTGATTAAATCTTGACCATAATGTGGCTTTAAATCATTGAGAAAATCAATTTCTCTTAAAGAATGACAATTGGACACAATCAAGATGAACGCAGTCACTAAATTAGAAAAGAAAACAATCAGATCAACAACACAATCAATTAATTGTTCTTACCTAAAATAGCAAATTCAATCGACTTCATTGTAATTTCTCCTTAATTGTTAGAAAACTTTTTCCAATTTTGAACTGTTTCAAATGAATTTCCAACCACAGAGACTTTCAATTGTCTTAAATTTATAACCAACACAAAGAGGTGTATCCATCATCTCAATTAACTAATTGTAATCAAATAGAAATATTATTCTAACAATAGTTCCAATGGTTAGAGTTCAGCTGAAATGAACATTCGTCTATTAGTACAATTACCGATAGATTGTTGAATAATCAATCCTCCCTCAATCAATGATCATTATTAATTGACATGAAGGGTTAACTAATCGATAGTAAAGTTAAGTAATCAGTTGATTGACAGAGAAGATGATTATCATTTCGATTCGTTTGATTAACTGGTAAATCGTTAACATGGTGATTTACACGTGATACAATTAATGGCTAATCGAATGAAATAGTTTCCATCATAAGAACAATCAACAATTAAATATCTATTTCGATCAGACTGGACTAACATTCGTTATTCGCTATTTAATTCAACTCTCCGTTCAATTAGAAACCCGATAAGTAAATAAGTTCATAGGTTTTCATGGAAAAATATTCAGAAACAATTTCACAGAAATTTTCAGATGATTTATTGGGTAATAGTAAAAAAATACATGAATCAGAACATGAATGTGACATTGAACGTTGTGTACACTTATGATATCAGATCGTTGATTGTGATTAAGCTAAATCAGTTTAGATGGGTGATTTTTGATGTTGATTAGTTGCTACTTGTTGCTAAGATTCAATGGAAATCATTTTAACGAGAAATTGAAATCTCTGTAAGAGAAGGTGACATGAGCTTTTGAACGATTCATGAGTTGGATCAGAAATTTTTGATCGAAAAGGGCATTACGAAGGACTCGAAGTTGATCGGTAACATAGTCGATTGTCCCAATAACATTTTCAAATTTCTTCGAATTGGTCTCAATGTTTTTCTTTATCCATTCGATGTCACTTTTGTACATGTTACAAAGGAGCCATAAAGCTTGATTGATAACCCATTCCAAAGGTTGAACATTGAACTTTTCCAATAAAGTATCGGGTGTCTCATAGTCTTCATTCAATTCGTATGAACTATTGGTACCATTTTCAGAATATTCACCGATTAAACCAATATTAACCTCGTAGTTTTCAATGATCTTCTTCAATTGTCCATAACTAGTGGCACTCTCTTGACAATTAGATAATTTCATAGTTAAATTGCCAAGAATTTTAAGAGAATCAAGTAAAGTATTGAAATATTGTTTCTCATGTTGCGACAACGAATTAGATTGTAAAAAGTTGAAGATACTTTGCATTCGTCGATTAACAATGGTCACTAGATATTTTCTCACAACTTCAGGGCCAAATCCCCACAATTGGTCAAGAAAAACCATCTCCCTTAATCGTTGGGTCATCGTTAACTGGACAATGGAAACTTGAAGTAAAACTAATTAAACAAAATCTATTAGACTCACTATGTTCATGTTTTCCCAATTGACTAATACAAGATGATGAACAACAAACGGAAACAAATACAAATGAAAGATGAAGTTATAATAGGAAGTAATTAGTTAATTACTCTTAGTTTGTTTAATTTAGCTAATGATCATTATCATTTTCAGGTGTGTGTTCCTGTTGTTTTCAAGTGTCTTAGTCAATCATCATACACAAGTGATACTCTTAATGTAGTTGATTAGCTTGATTACTATGTTGTTATAACCTTCACAGTCTTTACATCTTGATGGTGAAGGTTAATCATTAAATCATAATAGAACATAAATAAAACGAAAACAATTGGTCATTCATTTGGCTATTAACTGTTTCAGTCTGTATCATTTCTGATTCTTGACCAGTTGATACTTTCGTAATTGACCTGAAGGGTTTTCCAGTGTAACGAAAAAAGAGTAAACAATTAAGGCTGTTCGAAGTTTGAGATTTTCTTTATTGGGAAATGAGATCAAAGTGAATTGTGGTTCTCTGATTGTGATTGGAGATTATTTTGCCGATCGATTTGATTACCAGCTTAGCATGTTGATTAGAAGATCGAATCGCTCCAAGAGTAA